AATAAGGCCAATTCAAGATGGCGGTCGTATTGGTAATAAGGTCTATTCAAGATTGTGGCGTATTGGTAATAAGGTCTATTCAAAATGGCGGCAATGTGGGAAATAAGGTCAATTCAAAATGGCGGCCATGTAGGAAATAAATTCAATTCAAGATGGCGGCAATGTGGGAAATAAAGTCAATTCAAGATGGCGGCCATGTAGGAAATAAAGTCAATTCAAGATGGCGGCCATGTGGGAAATAAGGTCAATTCAAAATGGCGGCAATGTGGGAAATAAAGTCAATTCAAGATGGCGACAGAGTGGGAAATAAAGTCAATTCTAGATAGCGGCCGTGTGGGAAATAAGGTCAATTCAAGATGGCGGCTGTGTGGGAAATACGGTCCTTTCAAGATGGCGGCCGTGTTGGTTATAAGGTCAATTCAASATGGATGCCGTGTTAGTAATGACACGACCGTATGATAATAACGTCGATTCAAAATAGCGGCYTTGTTGATAATTYTTCAAGAGATTTGAAATCACAGAAGAAAGAATGGTAGTTTGCTTATATAGACTTCATTCCGATAAGATTTTTTGGGCCTACGGGCAGAAGCTTGCACTAAATATCGGTTACAAATCACATTGCTTGTCAATAACAAGGCCAYAATTTCCTCTTTTATTTTCTCTAAATTTCCATTTKGCCTGTTTTGGTCGACATAATAATTGCGTTTTGTCTAATTCTTTGGCCCTGAAGGGTGGACTCCCACAGCACAAACACAGCAGGAAGCTTTGTTTAGACTCTTAATTTCACTTAAAATGTGTTTGTTTTCAAATATTTATTCAAGCAAATAACTATAACRCACGTWAATACGCAGAAAATTGATAACACGCGTTCTGGRCCGTGAGGMTGCCGTCACGGTAATTTAGAAAGCGCAACAATTGATCAGTAAAACCGAATACTGAAGACAWGGAGATGAATTTCGCTTGTTGACAGKGAGCGAAATGCATCATGGGCAATACGGACAAAGTCAGATTAAACAATATAGTGTTAGAGGTAGATACTATTTCTTTGTATTTATAACTTTATAACTCCAGAGAAGAAATAAAATTTAGACGATTTTTAAAAATTCATGGGGAACCTCTCTTAACTAAATCTATTGTGATAATTTCAAACCGACCAGCAAGTTGATATTCTTTTAGCGCACTTTCGGAATCTCAACATTTTCATCGGAATCAGTTGGTGGAAAAACTTGTAAAAAGATTCCGCGATAKAAAGCCTGCTATACGTCGCTCGATTGAGTATCGGGAGTATAGAAGGGACGTTTTTTTTGTCATCTCAATGCTGTTATTYTTTATTGTCAGTTGGATTTGATTACCCATAATACTCTCACGCGCAAGCCCTGAGGCGAACGAGAACATTCTGAAAATATACCTCCAAAAAAGCATTGTGTTGACCGAGTTCAAATCACGATGGCTTAACACTAGAAGGTGAACAATATGTGTCACTATTTCACTACAATGGCATCGACATGATGTCTTACAATWTTTTCCTACGCGGCCGCCATTTTGCCAATCATTTTGAATTTCTTGACCCACGCGCCCGCAGCAACAATTCCTTTKTTATAAAACGTGAGCTAGTGGCTAATAAACAAGTTATTCCAAAATTTAAGGACTCCGATAGCAAGTCTTAAGTTCTACAAAAGCCTGAAATATTTTACAAAACAATTACAAAATGGCCGCTCGTATCGTTGATGTACGACACGGTGGGAGATTGAAGCGCAAAACATTGAAAAAATCTAAGAATTCTAAACTGAAGAATTAGTTAGATAAGCACTTCACTTTTGGCTTAACTTTATACGTGTGAAACAAACTCCAACTAAACGAATTCACTCGCTGAACAAAAAGGAGCTTACAGACTCTGTTGTCTATCGGACAATAGCTCCATACGTACGCAAACGGTTTGTCCCACAGTATTCCATTGATTAACGAAGATAATATATCACACGACCTCTAAAATGATGCAAACTGACCGGTATCTCAAATAGATAAAACGTTTGTATTAATGAGAATTCTATTGTTTACCCTCTTTAATGAGAACACTGTAATTGCGCCCTTAGGGGGACCGATTTTTGCGAGGGTCGCCACACACTACGAACTACTTTATGGCTCTCAGCTGGACGCCATTGTTGGCTATAAATCTTAGTACWAGTTAAAGTGGCTGTGCTGGGATTGTATGAATGTATCCTGATGAGTTTCACATCTTGCTTAAGGTTTGGTATTCCACGCCCCTTGTAAACGTCTGGTAATCCGTAAAGGGGTACAATTCTATGCAAGAGTCTCTCGCGCGCAGGAACTGCAAAATTTCCCCCGTTTTTTTTCTAATGAAAACTATCTGAAAACGTTACGCGAATAAAGTAACGTACGTCCTAGTATATACAGGGTTTCAATCAGAGCGCGGGATAGATAATACTAGACAAAATTCAGTTCCAAAATCTAAACGTAGAAGTAACTTATTTTTCCACGTTACTTACGTCTACGTATGGACAGTTTAAGTCAGCCGATAAAGGACAATCTAGTTCCTAAACATAACGTAAATATATGAACGTGTTTGTTGCGTTACGTCTACGTATGTACAGTTTTAGTCAGAGCGGATAAAGGAAAATTTTAGTTCCTAAACGTAATGTAAGTATATGAACGTATTTGTTGCGTTGCGTCTACGTAAGGACAAAATTTTAGTCAGAGAGAATGAATRATATTGGATGAAAATTTAGTTCCTTTCAACACACAGTTGATGTTATATTATCAATTGTTTGCTGTGCTTTAGTCGCAGTTTTTCTCATCTATAACATATGTAAGTACTCACAATTGTGACAATTTTCTTTTTCAACTTGTTGTAGAATACATTGAGCTCTGAGATGAAACAAGTTTCCGAATTGAAGTAGAATTAATTTTAACTGAAAATGGAATATGCATAATCAGGAGAACGAAATATTTCCATGACAAAAAAAGCTTATACGATAACATTTAATTTGCGGCTATTTTAAACAAAGTTTTGGCTAAGAATAGAACGACAAAAAACTTATTTAAATATATTTTAATTGAAAGTCATATTCAATGTAAAAATGAAAACTAATATAGAAAGTAAAAATTGGGAAAAAGAATGAGAAATATATTCAAATACGTTATTTAAGTGATAATACATAAAAACATAAATGAGATTGAAAAGAAATGTTAAATGAATGGAAGTTATGAGARGTGGAAAAGAGAAACAATCGCATACTAACAAGAAGTGTTATGTCCAATCAACRAAAGTGGTTTTGATTAATCTCTACCAAAATTCAAACCAAAGAGTCTTCTAATTCCAGGAGCGTCGATTCAATTAGCGAAAATTTATAACAGAGTTCCTCTTTGATAAACAGACTAAACAAGAATGCTTTAAAYTCGAGCGAAAAGGACCTAAAAGTCATATCACAAATCTGATCTTAATTAGTATTCTTAGCGCAAGTGGATCAACTAGAGAACCACTCGACTAGATCGTTTCAAAAATAGTTTATCAAAACAGTACTTAGATCACAAACTCCAGAGTCATAACACACCGGTAAATGGCAAGAAAACATGTTTTATTAGTATTGAGAAAACAGCAGGTGAGCCGCCTAACGCTCTAAACTTGACTATGATGAGTACTGATCTTTCGACCCTAGATTCCTGACGACCACTGTGAATCCTTWGAATGATATCAATATGCTCACGTATCATTTTCAAGATTTTGTTGACCCGAGGGTTTAGTCTGTGATAGTAACAACTTCAACATAAGTGGAACAGGCAAAAGATTATAAAYAAATCGATAGATTTGCCATGAAAGTGAGCGTGCGCGTTGAAAGAATACGTCGAGTCGTACGGAAAACGCATCGCCACACGTAGTTTCGTCCGTTGTTTTATAATTGCTCAAGGCCATTTTTTCATGCGGAAAGGACATTTTGGCGTTCTTTGTGTTTTCAGCGGTAGAAACATCGATAAAAATAATAATGCGYTTGAGTTCTTTGTCAAGTTTTTCTTTCTTTTCATATAGGAGTTACCTATCCGGAGCCAAGTGCGTCAATGCAAGAACTATTGTTTCTCGTTTCTTGTTGCGCGACCTTACCCATTTGTAATTCATTAAGAGGCCACATTGATAAACTTCAGAACAATCTCGTAGTTGCCCAAGGGGAAGTTGAGTCTATTTTAATACGCTTACTACATCGTTGCTAGTCAGAATGGCTTGTGTTTYATASGAAGTTCCAAAGTTATATTTTCGAAAACAAAGCCATCTCTAGTGTACAAACGTTTTCGTATCGTTAAGTTGTTGTTTTTTGGATGTAAAGATAACATGGCTAACTGTTGATGTTCAGTGTTCTTCATTGATTGAGCGATTACAACCGATGACGGAGCAACGTATATTTGCTTATGAAACCACTTAAAAACGGCACGAACTTAGTCACTTGGGTAAATATTTTTGTAATTAGACGCCAGCCGAGGTTTCCACAAGGGATTGCCTTGCCGAAAGAATTTCGGTATAAATACGTAAAGCTCTATTAACGCACATAGTCCTCCGAATTAGCAACCGCAGCAATGTATCATGTCTATCAACATTCRACCTGCATTGAACGGAAATACCGAATACTGAGAGAAAAAACTTTTTAATAGATTTAATACTAACAAAAAAATTGTTCATACGATAACGCAGAAACATACTGTACCTAATTGAACAATTTACGCGCGAAAAAGTACGCGCTCATATAGATAATAAACCATTACTATTTAGCACATAGTTTGCTATTCACGTAACATGCTGCGTATTTCACGCAACTAAATTCTCCGTTCATGTCCGCGTAAGAGCAGGATAGTTGTAGATCAGGACTRGATGTGTAGGTATTAAATGCGCGCTAAGTGGATATAGTACACAAAGTACTTGACAAAGAGATTTTGTCACTTGCAACCTACTTAGAACCATAACAGCTAATAGACCTATTAGTAGTTCATCTACGTACACTACGGATTATCCAACAGAAAATCGTATTTCTTTACGTAAAAGTTTAGTAAGAAAGTATTTGCTTACTTGWACTCGCTTGCTCTTGCTCACAGTTTTAAATCTCCTCGTCTAGAAGTTCCACGTCCAGGGTCAGCATKCAATACTGTTGAGTATGGCCCGGTCCTACGTGTTTAAATATCAGTGTATGAGAAGCAGCTAACATAAGGTTTTTATTGCAGTACGCCGTATGGTTTAGTCATCTAGAGCTAACTAAGGTCGGCTGGGACTCGCATGGCCCTTCAAGGCCACAGAAGGTATCTGTAAAACGAACAAGAGGAGCCAGCCAGGATGTCGCTTGCATGCGGCGCAGCAGAACTTGCCAAAGGGAACAATATTAGGCTGCTTTTTGAACGCAACAACGAGAACAACTTTGATTTAACCAAGCCAACATGTTGTTCGACGGTGTGGATGGTAATGGTCTGTTATGACAGCTACGTTAATCTAATTCAGCTGTTCAACGCGCACCACATGTGCTGAACATATGACTAGTGTGTATTAAATGATTTTTACTTCGGTGCTCAGACGGAAATAGATCCAGATGGTAGGCCCTGAAGTAAAACATTACTGGGACGGGCTTCCTAGAGTTCACTAGAGGATCCGATATCTGTTGATCACAGTGTGTTTCATATTTAGTTTTGTGATTTTTTACGGCGGGGAGTTCATGTGGTAAATTCATTARCAATGGTTTAAGAGTTCGAAAGAAAGTGAAATGAGCAATATGGAAGGATGGGTAGATGTTAAAAATACGAGCAAATAAATGGGAATTATCGAATAAACGGAATAATTCAGATAATAAATAAAGAGAGGGATGAGAGAATGAGAAATTGAACAAAAGAATAAAAAAACTAGGATGATCTTTTATCCATTGACTCAATAGGATTTGAACGAATTATATTTTTAACAGAATCCAAAACGATCCATTAATCTTTGGTCCAACGTTGTCACTTACGATGAACGAGAGAAAAGAGAACTTCGATAATTAACTGACACATTTACAATGAGTGATGGACTGGGTACTAGGCTCTCAGGTAATTCTAGTGTCCAGGTTTACACTTGTGAGTTTGCAGGGCAATTGTCGCGGCGATCGTCGCGCCACCATCGCCTGAGTTTCGAACATGCTTAAAAATTCGCTGCAACTTCGCGGCGATCTTCCATCGTCGCAACAATCGCAGGGGCGTTTGTTTACACGTACGATTTTATTTGCGCGATAGCAAAGTGGCGATTATCGCAAACGGGCCTTTACTCTGCATCCGATGTTCTAAGAAAATATCATAAGTTTACCCGTCATACGATTGTTAAATTTATAACGACGTACTTAAAGCGTGAAATACATATGGTCATTGTAGGTACATCACACCCAAGAAGTCCCTAAAGTAYATGGTTTTGATTTTGTGTGCCTGTTACTCAAAACACAAGTGGAGTATTGTCGASTCAAGAGTCTTTGAAAYCCCCGCACTAATTAATTCCAGGATAAATTGTCTAAACATCAGCAGGAGTTGATTATTGTTTAGTTTTTCTTTCGTTTCGTTTTAAACAAATAGATCAAGTGTCCCAATGATCAGAATATTACTATTAGAGGTTATTARTAAGAACTAATAATTCTGTTATGATATCTTATATTCGATGAGGGACTGGGAACTGGGAGCTATCAGCTAAGAAACCATATATGACATAATAAGTCATGTTGTGTAATTAACCATTGAAACGTCCTTAACCTATTACTGTAAATTGAAAATGCGTTTTAAGATTGTTAATATTGCAAATTGATATGGGTTTAAACTCGATTCATGTTATTTCTTACTCGAATCGTCAAATGGATTTATACTGACGTAGTGACCGAGTCATTCTGTGCGTCAAGACTTCGCATGGAAAGACGACATCGTAATTTGATAGATCAAATACTACGCAGTTTTGAAAAAAACATTTGAYAAATTTCGGSTGAATGCACGGCACATTTTTGAAATCTCCAAAACAGATTGGCSCCAGACGCGCGCGAAAATCAACAAAGATATGTGAGTATGGGAGAATGATTCTCTACCTTCAAATCCTTGTGAATATTGGCTCCTGTTATCTTGGTTGTGTATGATAAACGTCCAGTTTTCTTCATTTATTGTCGCTACAGATAGAACAACAGGTTAACTAAATGATTTGGAAGCATTACCATTTTGAGCACTCGCACCCCGAGGGGTTCTAAAGAATCCATTTGACCACAGTTGAACATAATTGTCCCAGTCGCTGCTGCCAYACAAGCAATCAATTCCCAGCTTTTCATAAGTTAAACTGTTTCCATAACAAGAAATAAGAGACAGTGCTCCATCAACTCACCTAAAACAGGTCATAGATTGGCCATTTTTCGCTCTTTTACCAATCTGTTCATGTTAAGTACTGGTGAAATTAAAGGATGTTAAACTCGTTGAAGATAGTGGCTAAGCCTGTGGCGGTAGCTAATATTTACTTTAGAGACCCTTATATAATTTGCAAGAAGGCGTTCGGTAATCCTGGTTTAAAAGAATACGCAAAGACAAAAGCCTGTTGAGTTTTATTAATAAAACCAATTTGATTGTGTCTCTAAACAATYACCAATGATACTATCAAAGACGAGAAATGCAAATCCATAAACCTTGTTATGGTCGAGCGGTACGTTTTTAATTAATAGATATAAAAAACAAAAGAGGGCTGCTGACAGTTGGTTTGTTTGCCTACTGCAGGGATTAATTATATCAAGCAAGTGGAAACGTTTATAATCAGCATCCAAGGAAGGATATTGTTTTGCGGGAAAGGGCATCAAAGATTTAATAAGSTTGAGAACTTWAAGTTGATTTAATGGCGATGGTGGTGACTTAYCGYGAAAGTGAGCTGCACTCAATTGAATTGTATAGTATCTTAAACAGTCTTAGTAAATAATGGCTTTGGAGTGCTATTTAAAAGGAAATGCACTTTCCTCAGATTGGTATTGGAATTAAAAGTGATTAGCTGGATTTGAGATTTTCAATTGCGCAGCTAAAATAGATGAGATGTACAAAAAGTCAKTCTATTTTATACATTGTTGTTTTAWGGATAGTTAAAAAGAACTACAATAAAAAACTTACAATAAAAATAATCTTTATTTAATTGATTTATAAAAGTCCTACTTTACATGCATATATTAGATTAAATTTATAATTATAGCAATACTGTTAACAAATCTCATGATGGGATATTTTCAGGATTTCAAAGATGGCTGCTGTCCACAAGAGAAATTACCAATTACAAATTAAAGTTATTAGCATAAAACCTTAAAAGTCATCTCAGTCGGACTGAGATGTATGATCGTGAAAGTGTTGACATTGTCATTTTGCTGCCGAATCTGAATCATAAAGAGAATGATATCTCACGCAAAATCTTGAAAAAGTTGTTCAGTTGAAAATGGTATAGTCAACAATACAAGCAATTTTCATTTTATGACAAAAAGTTTCACAACAGTTACAAAACTCCAATYACTAACGTAAACATGTGGTTTGTAACTTAATCCGAGTTTTTAAGCTGAAATTAATGACTGTTTGATGCAAATGAGTTTACTGCTGACTAAAGGCTTTATTAAGGTTGCGTAAAAAAACCAACGGCTAGCTACAATCTTACGCAAAATAAACGGAACACCCTACCCCTTTCCCAATTGCAAGGTTTCACACACGTTCAGCATTGTAAGGGGAGGGAAGGTTGGTACTAGAATCGATCACAGACAGTGTTTCACMCAATTTTGCAAAAGATTGTAGCTTTGACTGACATTCTTAGGCAATCAATTTGCGCATAGAAAATAATGCTTCCTGATAACGGCAATCTATTTAGGGAACGATCACTTCGGTCTGGATCATGATTTTAGGGGGTGATCACTCTAAAGATCATTTCCACCAAGGTACTAATCCTGGCGCAAGTCTTTTGAAAAAGTAATGCCGCTGACTTTATACCGTTGTTGACCGCAGTCACGGGATTCCACATTTTCTCACTAAACCCGCGTATCGAGACCTACAATTTCGTGGTTTTCAATCACTATTTCAGTGACAACGTCGGTTTTTCTCGGTTTTACAGATTTCGTAATACACGAGGATGCTTTCCGTCTTCTGCTTGAGTCTGGTCCAAGTCCTTCGATATCGTCCATGATGGCTTCAATATCGACCTGGTGATGAGTGTCTTTGGGCATGAATGAGATGTCTCGAACAGCACGRAATTTACCGCAGTTATTTAAATGTTCATTCTCGAGACGGAARAAGTTCCATACGAAACGTCTGAAAAATACGAGATAAAAATAATAAGTGGCAGTAGAATTCAGCCCAGCGCAGCGACGCCATTTTGTAAAGCAAAGCATGATGGGAGTTGTAGTCCTGGTACTCTTTTTTGCGACGGCAAAAAATTGCTTTTAGACAAAAATACAGATAGTTTCACCGTTTCCACAAAGAAAACATAAGAAAGGCTTGGAGGGAGATTTTTCAAGGGCTATAAAAAGTGCGAGGACTACGGAGAAGTCTGGACAAAACCAATACAGTTAAAAACCGACAATAACACATGTGATTTTAACCATTSRCGTAAATTTGAAACAAGCTCTCTTACCTGAACACCTCRCACAGAGCCAGWGCAAGTTTAAGTATCTCAGAGTGAAAAAGCTCAAGATCTCCGACTGAYACAGTCAGCGTCCATAAAAATCGAAATATTAAATCTTCCAGCATAGCTAAATAATAACAAACCTACAATAAAGTACAAACAAAAAGGTATTGTATGGACATGTTTAGCAATATTTATTATCTGGGACTGGGCTGCCTGAGATCCAGCCATAGGAAACCCACAAGGAACGCTTCTTTTCAGACGCGAATGGGATATCAATTCAGTTGTTAAAAACAGTTTCCAATTATCTAGAAACCGACAATTATTGCTCTTTAAGGTGCTACATGCACACAGTCCCTGGTTTAGGCCCGTCGATTGACATTTTTGTACACTAAATAGTTTGGTTTTGGGAAAGAAGGACGAAAGAACTCAAATCACATAATGAATTCACATGCAAAACCGGAAAAACTGGTTTGTTACCTTATATCTATAAACAGTCTCTTCTCTAAGAAACCGGTTTTCCTTTGTKGCTGATTTGTCGAGTAGTCCCCAGTCCATCTTGATATCCCACGTAAGCGTGTAGCACGTACTTATAGCAGCGGCCCAGATCCACAGCATGAAGAAATTGTCACTTTGAGGCGAGTCAGACTTAGCTGAAATATAAAGTTGTCCTTTGACATAATCACAGACGTTGAATCGAGGGGAAGATGAAGAAAAATCGTCGTCAACTTCACTCGCACCTTCCCACCAACCCCTTCGAGCAGCGTAAAAAGAGTAAAGACTGGGCACGAGTCTTTTCGAACCCAACAACAATTTCTTATTAATCCACTTTCGATATTCTCTTTGAATGGGAAGTGGATAAAATAAATAATTATAATGGCGAGGCTTTGAGAAAACAAACAAACGAAAAAAATACATAGTTTCTCCCCAGAGCTCGTCTTCAATTTTTTTTTCAACTCGATTCATCCAACACGTCGAAAACGGTCCATTAGGTGGATTGCATTAGACAGCATTAACTCTCAAGTACCTACCAAGAGTAGAAAAAGCCACTACAAAGAATGACGTTGAGTATTTGCCAGCGTTAACTAAATGAGGAAACTTTTCCCGCGTATCGACGTAACGACGTATACATTGTGCAAAGCGAAACCATGCCGGTAAACAGGCCACAAACGGACGAAGACCATACAAAGTGCTCGCACATATATGATCCTTATCTAGACAACAAACAACCAAGATCAATGATTGAGTTTTAAGGTGGCTCATTACAGTGAATTTTGATTTTACAAAGTTAACGTCACATAGAGGTTCGATATCGCTGACTGGTCGATATCACTGACTGGTCGATATCACTTACTGGTCGATATCATTTACTGGTCGATATCACTTACTGGTCGATATCACTTACTGGTCGATATCACTTACTGGTCGATATCACTTACTGGTCGATATCACTTATTGGTCGATGTTACTTACTGGTCGATAAGTGCCAGTCCCAGGCATAAAAACATACAATGTACTGAAAATCTAATAACGCAACAACCAAGCTATTCATTTGATCGGCCATCCAGAAATCAGCGAATCCTACATGATGGAATGGTGCGGTAATGATACGAAACTGCAAAAAGATAAATTACAACTGTTTCAAAATGAAAAAAATGTTGGATGATCAAACAAGTTCTTGATGAGGAAATTCGTCTTTCTAACATCCAGACATGCAGACGTCTTAAGTAGTTCGCTCATTCGCTCCCGATTTGGAAGTCCTTCAGTGCAAGTGAACTACGTCCGACAACGGAGCCTGACGGCTTCAAAGAACAGCCAGAAGAGAGCAAGAACTCAGTGTGAACGGTGTTTGATGGAGAGTCTTAAACACCTTAACGGCGTACAAGTGCAAGAATAACGATAACATCAACAACAAACAAWGAAATGACAACAGCAAGAAAAAAACAACACAAACACACAAAATGAAAACAAAAAAACAAGAACTAACTCACCAATATTCTAAGAAGCCATATTCTTGCTTTGTAATAACAAATTTTAAAAGGATTGAATGTGAATAAGAAGATAAAACACACGAGTACAAGGTTAGGCAGATAATGACCAATTCCTATAAAATGACTGAGCAAAAAGGCGTTCAGAGAAATAGCCCATAAAATAGCCAATAATCCCGAAACCTGAAACGCAAACAACCTATCAGTAAAGATGTATGACTTGGGTGAATACAGCAATTCCAATCAAGGTTGTCAAAACGAAAAGCCATTCCCTTCGTGACGTCATATCAATTTCGCTAGATGCACCATGGGATTGATGTAAGATTWAACAGATTTCATGGTTTTAGTGTCGGCTTTTTTGCAAACAACGAGCATGACTTGACCTCAGACATGTCCCATGGTATACTCTCTAGTGGGCAGCCATGTCATTGAACGTTTTTGAAAATGATCCTCAACAACTGATAGCGTAAAATTAGCAAAGAAACTTCGTCTTGTCATTGTAAAACATCCGCCATATTGACTATACCATGATGCACTTCGCCAAAACCAAATATGACGTCACAAGGGCTGAGGACCACCGTTGAATACCGAAGGGATGTAGTGGTTTTAGTGCTAAGGTAACGAAGCAATTACAACATGAAAGCATGAAAAATAATAAACAAAAACACGCGACTTTTCACAAGTTATACCTATACCTCTAATAATTGATGATAGCTGAGATGATTCCTGGGATCGAGTTCGAAGATGAGCACGTGATTGACCCCCGCCTTTCTCCAACCCCACGTGTTTATAGCAAGTAAAAACGTTACTAGGACAATGAGGAATATACCACGATACATCCTGATGGCTGTCTCGAGCTCGTTACTGTGATCGGTATAAATAGCTGAAAGTAAAGCGAAATAGGTGAAGCTTGGAGTGTCAATGAAACGATATGACCATCTCCTTCTCTTCCTTTTCCTATCCAAGCCTCTATTGTATCCAATCTTTTTTCTTTCCTCCATTGTTAGTAAAGGGGGTATCTCCTTCTGCAAGTTCTCATTTTTCTTCTCTCTTGATCCTTCTTTTCTATCATTTTTTATCCTTCGTCCACTCTCCCTTCAATCCATTCCATCTCCCTTCCTTCGTAGCGTCCTCCCCATTCACACCAAGATTTTCCCCTTTCTCTCTTCTTCTTCTCGACTTCCCTTCCCTTCTGCCCCATCCATTCCTCCCTCCCTTTACCTTCCTCCTCTCGTCCTTACTTCCTACTTCTAACCTTTTTCCTAACCATCCTTTTTCATCCATTTTGCTCTGCAGAAAACTCTTTCTTATTCGATCCATGAAATAACTTGAAATATGAAATCAGTTGATTGTAAATTCAAATCTGCTGTTCGTGATCCGTTCAAATTGTGCGCACATTTCGTTAATTCTACTATCGGGGCGTTTTTTTGGTGTTAATTTTGTAATTAAAAAAAAAACGCTAATTACTTTGGGGTTAGTGACGTACGTCAAATCATGGTCGCACCGTTTTGATCAGTTCGACACTCATACCTATCACACAATGATAACTGTAAGAATTATTCGGCTGAAGTGAAAAATAGATTGACGGAAGATGGACATTGTATTTTTGATCTTAACCAAGTAGTTTCAAGTTTTTTAGCGTGATGAAAGGAGGATTTTTTAAATATAGCATGGGTGTATCATTCGGAGCCTTTTGTCAACCTAAAGGCTGTTATGCTTGACGACAATTTGACACAAGAAAAAGTGTTATACTTAAGCGTAGTGACGGTGGTTCTTGAATAGATATTGTCGTATCATGTCGTATAGTGTCTACTTCCACCTTAAAATCAAGTTTCCATCACGCAAACTCAAAGACCAACGCGCATCCGAGAACCATCCAACGTTTTTCTTATTCCGCATCCGCCATCTTTGATTTTGAACCAATCAGAAGGAAACTTACAATATGAGTTTGGATGAGTTAGAATACAGACTCATGGTAATGTTATAAATTCGCTTTAAATGCGTAGAAAATTACAGAAAAAAAGGGAAACTGCTCAAACTTTCATTTGTTACTAATTTCGGAATTTTACTCTGTCGATTAAGAACGTCAGGTGTTCACTTCAAAGGTAACGCTTTTCGACACACCTTTCAAAGCGCTAATTGATCACCATGACAACAGCCAATCAAATCAAGTGAATGACGTATTTTGCAAGGCTTGTCGCCACATCCCCACACCAGGGCTAGTTAACCACCATGACAACAGCGAAACAAAACAAATAATGGTGTAAGAATTAATCAGCTTACAGAACACCCAATCAAATTTGATCGTCAAAAGTATATATAACCGTCGATATTGAGAGATCTTTCGCACACATGCAAGCAGTCAATTGGAAACAACGTTCAAGAATGGATCGACTGAGAAGATTTTTTACTAGCGGCCGTCCTCGTTCCAATCGGACCTCATCAGAAGAGAGCGGAACATCATCCCCAGGACGCAGCTTTGAAAATCCCCATCGATGTCAATCGCCAGAAGTCACTGTGATATTCTCAGAGTTTACGCCTGGTCTGGGACGAAAGGTTCCCGAATTAGTGGCAGCGGGAGAAGGATTCTTTGAAATTCACTACAAAAATAACTACGAACGAAGAGTGGATTGGGCATATTCACCATTYCAAGTACCAGTCTACCGTAAAATCAAAGGCAAAACCTACAGTCAAATGCACAAGGATAAATCGGCATTCTCTTTCGAAAAAGATGACATTCAAAACGTTTTCAAGCAAAGGAGAGCAATGAAGGACACTGAACTTAAAAACTGTGAATGACTCATATCAGAATTATTTATCAAACGTTTTTGAATAATTTGTATTGGTTTTAACTGAAAAGCGAACTTAAATCAAAATGATATCAATTTGCCATAATTCTATTGTCGGGATTATAATACATTTAACATAATCTACACATTAGTCGAAACTAGCATCATAAATTCAATATTTATACAGTAGATAGGTTCCATAACTGCTAGGGCTAGTCCCCAGCCTAACACTTTCGATTTTTTCAGCATGATTGTCGCGCGACAATCGTTACTTTGTTCTCGCGCACCTCAAATCGTACGTGTAAAGAGTTTTTACAATATTGTATTTGTCAAATATCATTCTCAAATACAGTCATTATTTCAGATACATTTGAAAACCGATATTATTTTTCAAATTATTATATCTATTGGTTATTCAAGCATATTWTTAAAATGATATTTTTCAATCAGCTTTGAATTACATGTAGATACATGTGAAGCTATTTGATGATCGATTTGATAATAATATAATAATAATAATAATATAGCTTATAACGCGCATATTCGAGTCTGCACTAAGCGCAAAAACTAAAAATAATTTTTATAAAGAAAAGGCTAGGTTGAGCAATATAATAAAATTTATTTTTAACATATGGTACTTTCTGTATTTGATGTAAGAATATATTAGATTTCAACTTTGTGTTTTTTCAAAATGCTGTGTTGTTTACTTTTCTTTTTTTTTACTTTTTTACATTCTTTTTGTTCTGTTATTTTTGAATTTTTCCCCTCTATCTACACTGGAATCTCGCCTTACGACCACCCCCTTAATACGTCCACTCTGATATAACGGACACATTTTTTAACGTCCCTGGGAATAACATTGTAAACCCTTTTATTTTTCTGTAATACAGACACGTTTCGTTATCCCTGAGGTGTCCGGATTATCGATAACTTAACGATTAAGTCCGATATAACGGACAGATTTTTGGGGGTCCCTAGGAATTACATTGTAAAACCCTCTTACTTAATGTGTCTCTATGTACTTCTGTTTTTAAGTTTAGCAAAACTTACCTGCTATGACATTCACCAAAGTTAACACAAGAAATATTCCACAGTATAATCCGACACGAAACGTTACAAGATCACCTGTCTAAAGATGAAGCAAAAATACCAACCAATTATTTCAGTCAATGAATCAACCAATCAATCACTTAAGCAACCAATCAATCAACCAACCAACCAATCAATCAATCAA